CACATGGAGTAAACACAAAAGTTAAACCAAGGTGGCTGAGAGGACCAGGACAGGCCCCTCTTAAGGGTGACCTTGGACGACACCCTAGCTGAACAGCAGATCACAGACACAAGGAAATTCAGTGTACACTTAGGACATGTGCGCTTTATAGGACGTAGGTTACACCCCAATTAGAAGAATAAAGAAAGGAAACTGCTACTTGGGAGACACGTCTACAAGTGTGACCCGCCTTCACTGAGCTCGTTTCATCAAGAAAACTGCAGGAGCATCAACAGGTAACGGTCACAAGGCTCTTGGTAAGGTCAAGTGACAGGTAATGGTAACTATTTCTGTATCATAGCTACCCTATCATATTCAACCGAGAAAACACTGTCCCAAGTCAGCACACTCAGCTTGGAAATACTGAATGAACTACTTAAGGTGGAAAAAGAAAGACTGAATTTTAGAGAAGGCTCAGGCCTCTGGGGATTTGGTCTCTGGTTATATCTTCCAATATTCCAAAAAGCAATTTATGGGCCACTAAGGGGGGGTGGGGTGTTCACAGAAATGTTCAGGGTCCCAAATCTATCTTCTTCAGTCAGAGGATACTATTAGTTCTTTGGAAGTCATCATAACTTTTAATTTGCCAAGGTTCCCTCTTCTTAATCTCTTTCCCTGCTCCCTATCACTGTTATCTAAACGTCTGTGAACAGTGTTTGTGTTCTCTATTAAACTTCTCTGTATAATGCCCAAGGTTCTCTGGAGAAACTGTGCTATGTAAATCTAGGCTTTAATAAAATGTGTAGACAGCTTAACACTTGCCATAAACCATAAAAACAGACTGTGCTAAGGGGGTGGGATTAGGAATCTAAAGTGTCTTTACTATTATAGCAACTCAATTTTAGAGCGGCAAATGCACCCTGTGTAAGAAAAGAGGGACAGCTAGAATATAAAATAAAATACAACATGGGAAACCACCATTCATTTAAGACAAATGGAAGATATAAAAAAATTCTACTTAATTGCTTAAAAGTGTTTCCACATTGAACAGAGTTAATCCTTAAGGTAACTTAAATGTTGAGTTTTCCCACCTCCTAGCTACCTTGTCAACTTAGGAAAAATGGGAAACAGTCCTATGGACTGACTTGCTGCTCTGCCTACGAGAACGAAGCCTACCTGGAAAGCATTGCAGTGTAGGCGTCGCTGGTGTGGCACTGCTCCCGGTTCTTTCTCACGGCAGGGGAGATCTCCTTCCTCACTCTGACAAGGTCCTCCACGGTGTTGAATGACAGCTTAATGTAATTTCGCTTCAAGCCCACCAAGTGATTTGGCTACAGAGTGAAGAGATCGCACTTATGAGTTCCAGAGAAAAAGGACTTTACTGGGGAGAGAAAATGAAGGCAGAATGACTCAGAGGTAAATATACTTGTCAACCTCAAAGCACCTTGTCCAAGTTTGCATGTGGCATCAACTATGGCACTAGAGTTCTCTGAAGAGGACGTCTAGTCATCAAGGCCCCACCATCTATAGCTCCCCACACCCACAGGGCCGAGCTTGGCCTCTTGCCATGTCACTCCTGGCACAGTGGACCCAGCTTCACATACCCTGGAAGGTATGAGTGACACTCACCAAGTCCAGATCCTCTTTGGGAACAGTCTCTACTTTAGCAATTTTACCCTGAAACTTCTTAGAGAGAAAAGATGACACTTCTCGCTCACAACCCTAAATCACGATCAGAATGAAAGGACTTTCCGTTAGTAAAATGTTTACTTCCTTGTTGTTTCTCTGGAGGCCTCTTTATTTCTAGTTCTGATGCCCCCCACAGAATGAGGAGACACAGTTCATCTGAATGGATTCTATGAGCCAGACTTACCTTTCTGGTTGCAATGTAGAAATATGGCTTGTAGGGCAGCGCCACCTGCAAGAGTCACCAACCCATTCAAGGGCGATGAGAAAGAAAAAGGGGGAGTGGTGAAGACAGGCTGCTTATACCTGTGAGCAGCCCAGACTCAGTGCACCCTTGACCCTGACATCTCTTAAGAGAGATGGGGCAATAAGGATTTGGGGCTGCACACATTGCAGGGCAAGGGTCTAAGGGATATGACAGAACCCATCTTTTGTACTTTTCCAGCCAGCTGCTCTTAGCAGACCCTAAGTGGTGACCAATGGGCTCTGGGCAGCTGCACACTGGAAGCCTCCCAAGCTCTCCTCACAGCTACAGAGCTAAACGACCACGCATCATTCTGGGCTCAGCTGTGCCTTGTCACTGAGTGGGTTTCACCTTCTTGGGGTTCAGCGGCTTACCTTAAATCTGCTCCCATCGTCTTGAATAAAGTAGTAATCCACTGCGCTGACTAGGCGTTTATCTTCATCTAAAATCTCAGTCTACAAGAGTCAGTCCACATGGGCACGAGGTTATCCTCTACACAGTAGGAGCCCTTTCCTCCTCTTCTTGAAAAACAAAACCTTTCCCTGCCCTGCACCACCACCACCAGCCCCATTCACGAGAACCCCATCCTAACTGCCTCCAGGGGAAATTTCTCTCTCATTCTTGAAAGTTATACTCTTACAGGTAACAAGGACACCCCCTCCTCAATCTTCTCAATGTCTTCTATGGCCCAAAGATGTGAAAAAGCAGCACTACACACACGCCCATCCCCACCCGTGCCACCCACACAGCAGGTCCCCACACCAAGTGCACCCACTCCTCAGAGAAGGGCTGTGACTCCACAGGGGTGAGGGGGAGGAGGAAGGACGAGGAAGGAGGAAGGAGAAGGAGGAAGGAGGAGGAAGGAGGAGGAAGGAGGAGAAGGAGGAGGAGGAGGAAGGAAGAGAAAGGAGGAGGAGAAAAGAGGGAGGAGGAAGGAGGAAGGACGAAGGAGGAGGGGAGCCCAGGCGCTCACAGGGTGCATATTGATCAGCCAGCCCGTCTTCTCTCCTGGCTCCTTGAGCCTCTCAAATCCGAACCGAGCATCCATCTTATCCGTCCACTGACTGCGCTCCAGGCGCTTGAGCGCGGAGACAGAGGGGCCGTCATCCCTGGAGAGAGCAGGGCAATGCAGCCTCCAGGCACCGCGCGGGGCGGCGGAGACGCAGTGGATGCACCCCCCGAACGACCCCACGCTTAGCAAAGCGGCTCCTGCACGGCACAGGAGCCACGGGAAAAGCGCGAGGGGCGGGACTCTCAGCCGCGCGGCTCCGACTCGACCCGAACAGGGCCGGACCCGAACAGGGCCGGACCCGAACAGGGCCGGACACGAACGCAGCGGTCGCGCTGGACGCCGCTGCCCACGGGACAGCTCGCCCGCGCCGCGCTGGAGGGAGGGTCGCGCACTCGCACCACAGCTGTGCGCACAAGTTCACAGCAGCTCCATTCTACGGCCGGAGAGCGAAACCCGGGCCGCGGCGCTCAGGTG